AAGGATCAAATTTTCAAAAAAGTCGGGGTTAAAAACATATGCATCAACCTAATACAGCTGCGGACCCGTTTATCTCGCACATTTTAAGAAAGGGATCTTCGGAAGTGAGCCCACAGCGTGTCTTTGGTATCTCCAGGAAGTTAGATTCTGTCTGGATATTTCGCTCAGAAATCGAGGAACATTTCAACCTCCTTAACCTTACCTTTCAAATTTAACGTTGGTAAAATACAACAATCTAGACAGCGATTGTGAACCGATTCTTCAACGACGTAACAAGTCCATCATAAAAACACAGATTTCTCCTGAATATTGTCAAGAAACTTGAAGAAAAATATATTACTAAGGAGTGTATTCTTGTAGCAATTACTGCCCTGTCCTATGTCGCTATCTTTCTTCTCAGTGGATGATGAACAGTTCAGCAGCTTTACCAACATTGAGGTACATGTTATTCAGATGGTTCTAAGACATATATTACATGGGAACATGAAAGAAAAACGACGAGATAATTCAACTATAGCAGCCCCTCTTCGTAAAGCCGCAGGTTACACATATTTTCCCTGCTGAACAAGCCATACGACCAATGACAACGATACTAAACTGTACAAGATCATTGTGAAGTCGCTCAGAGAAAATCCAAGCAACATAGAGAGTATCAGCCGTATAGGGTCGAAGATCAGGAGCAAAACGACTGAAATGGTAATGTAGAGGCATTAAACCTGAAGATCATTCATGCTATTGGCTCAACTTTGGAAAGTTACTTACCTGTGATCAAAGTAATATCCAAACATTTGGGTGAAGAAAACTATGAAGCCAAATCTACAAATGAACTCAGGCCAGTTGAGGAACATACGGATTTTATCGAATTGTATAAAACATGACATAAGAAGCGCCCATTGTACGAGGAGGTAGTAGCGAAGGGCATTTGATAAGGGAGGATTAAAGCGAACAGTAGGAGATGGCTCAATCTGAAGCGAAAATTGTAATGACACATTAATCCGTGAATCCGTCACAACTAAGGAATAATCATTCCGACTACTGTTCTAGCGTAACTGCCCTATGTGCAAGTGATGAAGCACAGTAGCAGACTTATTGTCAGTTTTGCCAACATGAAGCACCAATGACTGAAACCACCTTCAGGTATTCCTTCAGTGTGATCCTTCATAGATCGCCAAAAGAAGAACTGCTTTGTTCTCATTCCGGGGAAATATGCTGGCGGCCAGAAAGTTGCTTTCACCTACAAACATTACTAATATATTGTACTGCGTAGATTGCAATGAGAGAAAAATGTTCTCATAGAACAACTGTTCTCTCTGTTCTTCAAGTCTTCGAAATAGAACTCTCACTTTGTTCAATACACCCGGAAAAACCTCTTCGTTTTCTCGTTTCGCATCCGGCCTTTGTCGTAACCGAGCGTCTTGAAGGGGAACAACTGAAAACTGCTGTTTACTATTCTCGCGTTTCGCCATAATTTTTGGCCGGTAAAAAGTATCCGTTGTTTTGAGCGAATGGCATTGATGCTCTAAAACGGAAGTTTTTTTTTCTTGAGCAGGAACTGCCACATCCCACGTTTTTCAGCTACCGTTTCGCGAGCTAACATATTCTCTTCTACGATCAAGCAGTCTTTTTACTGATTAGTGCTTCGGGAAAACGTTGAACGCGTGAATTGCGTGCAATACACAAACGCGCGAAACGGGAGTCTTTGTGCCGCATGCCCCTTTACACGCACATTGTGGTTACTTTTGCGCTCATTTTTACATTGTTCAGTATGAATGATGACTTTTTTAGCTGCATAGATGGATCTGGACAACGTAGAAGATCTAAACGTCACTTTTGACCACATAAATACTGTTATCATAATGAATTAAACACTATCAAATGTATTGCAAATTGACACTAATTATCACTAGAAGTCTTACTACCATTGTAGCGATGCGGAGCTATCATAAGAAGTGCAACTACCGCGCCACTGACTGTTATTTTGTAATAATATTAATGAATTACTCCAATGGGCAGCTTATTTCACGCCATCATGAACTAAGCATAAGCAAAGCTCACTGAACATATACGGTGAGAATGGTTCAAGTCGCACTCTTATCCACGAAAAAACCGATCCACAAAACGTGAATTGTGGGCAATACACAAACGCGAGAAACGGGAGTATGCGCGTGTATTGCCGACAATTCACGCGGCGTTCAATGTGTTAAGCATCAGATGGCCCAGCTGGGAAGTCAGACGGCTGGTCAAGTCTTCAACAGTCTTCCGAATACTCTTCCACTCCACGGTGCTCAATATCTCCTTCTCAATATTCCGGCCTCATCATTATTCCTAAGTCGTAGTTGTTCTAGTTCGAACTCTCTTTACATTCAACGGCTTCTCCTTTGATGGACCTGATGTCGTAGCTGTTTGAACATTCATTCAGTTCTTCAGTTGTGCCTCCTCGCTCTCAGATGACTCTCTTATGCATATTCATTCCTTTATTCATAGCCTCTTAATTCAGTTCTCATATCGATGGTAATGTTTATAATTGTAATGTTTATAATTTACCATTTATTTACCTTTAGTATATTAGATAAAGTTTAATTACCCATATTGGAGGTTGTCTTCTCAAGTGGTCTATCCCGCGTGGCATTCCTATCTTACTAGGGGGGGGAGAGGGGCTCGTCAGGTCCAAAATGGCCGTTTGTAATGAGATGTAGCTCACTCATGGTTTTGGACGCTGATCTCGAATCTGCCTTTGAAATTTGCAAAGCGATTCTCTGAAAGGAATTATGATGGCTTGTTAGAATTAAAATGAAGGAAAACGGAGTCGAGCGCGGTTGCCAGCCAGTTCGCATGAATAGCCGGGAAGAACCCTTACGTTCAACGGCGGCATGGTGTAGTGGTAATGGTCTTGCTTCGCGGGCATGCCATGAAGGGTTCGAATTTCTGGAAGGGAACTTCTTTTGCATTTTGTGGGGAATGTCTCTTTTGAAAAACACTCAAACGCCAAATGGGTGCCATATTCGTGTTCAGGGAGCAAAACTACCCTTGGAGACAAGTTTCTAGCCAGAAGTGAGGTTTTGACCTAACTATGAAAAGTGCGGTAGCAGTTGATCGAATGATGGTCACCAATAGTTCCAGGGCCAGTCTCTTGTCAATTGCTTGTCTTTGGACGGAATTTGCTTTTAGATACCAGGAAAACTGGAGCAGTAACAATGCGTAAGAAGTGGCAAGACGAGGCTTGTGCAGGAGAATGTATCTGCAGCTGAATAGGTGTGAACATCAACTGAACTAACCCATGGATGCTTCACTTTTCGAAGTCAGGTCAAAATGCCAGATTTGGCTAGAAACCTCTACCTAGGCGTAGTTCGCCCCCATAAATACGAATATGGCACTCGCTCAGCGCGAAAACGCCTGCACTGCGCGCCAAGGGCACCTGTACATCTCCTAGATCATAAGGCACTAAGCGCGCCAGTAAGCGAACGCAAACTGTTTTTCAGGCAAGTCAAGGAGAGCGCTAATGTAGAAGACGCCACAACCACTTTTTGCCACGTTTGCGCAAGCAAAAAAAGTTAAGCTCAGCAGGGATCCGATCCCATGACCTGTTGCGTGGTAAACGCGGCTCCATAACTCCGTTCAGAGAATCGCTTTGCAAATTTCAAAGGCAGATTCGAGATCAGCGTCCAAAACCACGTCTAGTGAGCTACATCTCATTACAAATGGCCACTTCGACCTGACGACCTTCCCTAGTCAGAAGAAAGTGCGAGCAGTTTATCTGTTAGAAGACAATATCCTCAGTTAGTTTCTTTAAAATCTCTCACACATCCACTGCATAGGATAGCCTTGCCTAGTGATGACGATCTTTGGACCTAAACGTTTATGGTAATCATTCACTTCTCTGAGCCATTGTTTCCAGAGCCCGTTTTCATACTCCAGTTTCTCTTCGTTTTTCCGTACTGTTTGGAATCTTACTACCAACAAAAAGGATAAAATGGTTATGGCTGTAGAGGCAGCAAAAATAGCAGGAAGGTCCACGAGAGCTCTACATTTCACGTGTAGTTTTTTTATTTTGTGAGACTGCTTTCGAAAATGCACCTAGTCCAACTGTGTACCAAGGCGCAAGCGAGTGGTTGTGGTTGTAAAACGACGGAACTTTCTCGACCGACCTAGTGAAGGAAGTAACTCTGTACTAACGTGAAGCCACAGCTGATCAAACGATTTTACTGGCGTGACCGAACCGTACACAACTGCATCATCCTTTCTTTCAGGTTCGTAGGTGCCGAAAAGCCTGAAAACAGTTGAATTTCCGCTGTTTACAGAGAATGGTGTCGCAAGTCGACGTAAAACGCGTCACGTATTTTTGCTCGTGCCTGGATCTGAATTAGCTTCACATGCGTTCCAAGACTCAGTGAGCTAAGTAAAATAGTCGTTAGCGCAAAACAGCACCAATGCTTGTGCGTAGGTGAGCCGAGATCCAGAATTACATAGAGAATTTCACGTGTGTCTCTTTTTTCGCTGTTCTATACGGAACACTCTCACGAAAATACAAAAAGCGGAATCACAAATTCTCACAAGTGATGTTGTAAAGTATGTTATGATATGACCAAAGGCAAGTCATCTGAGCACTCGAACCTCTTCGAGTATATCTCGCAAACTCTTCTGCAAGGAGCAGATGAGCGAACTGTTTGGTGGTGCTATCTAGATGTTCTCCATCTTTCCTTTCCCTGGCATCTCCTTCTTCCTCTTTCGGTGCAATACTATATATGGACCGTCATGGAACATTTTGAGCATAAAGAGAAAGTTATGGAAAATTGAACAAACAATGTCTCGAAAACTCTTTAAGAGGTAAGAGATGCTATACCCTTGCGAGCGTCAACATCGAAAACTGATTGTTCTTTCTGCACTCGACTGCTCCCTTTCCTTTTTACTGCCGCTCAACGCAGGTATTCAAGTACTTTGAGCCAATTATCGAAGAAACTTAGCGGAACAAGTGCAGGGATGTCACACATATGAGAAACACTTCACCTGTCCCAAATAATCAAGACAGCTCCATAGTTCCTGTCGATGCAGTAAGGGTTTCTGCCATGATGAACTCGGTGGCTAGACGGAGTGTTGAGGAAGTACTCAAGTGGACCGAGGTAAGGAACTGCCTGAAGCGCGATTATTAGGCTCACATTTTCGCTCTTTCAGTCAATTATAATCTGCATTGAAGAGGCTTCAGTTCTGATATTTTAGACAGTGAGCAGGATTTTATGTGGGATTTGAGCGGGCTACCGGAATTGGTTGCCGTCCCAAAGTAGGCACTTCCTGAAGATGAGTCTTGATTGGCTTGCTCTATGAGCGAAAACTAAAAACAAAATAACCAAAAAAGGGGAGAGGTATATAGCGCATGGGACGGAGAATCAACAACCAAAGAACCTTCGCAACAGTTTCTCTCCCTACACGGTAACAGTGATACCATAGGGAAAAATGAAAATGAAGGCAAAACAGAGACTAGCGAAATATTGTGATTATTACTTACGTTCGAGTGAAGCCAGAATGCAAAAGATATAGTTCAGATATTTGTGAGCGATGAATATATTTGGTGGAATGGCGAGAGCTTGTAGCATGTCGAAAAACAGCATAAAAAATCCTAAATGGTTAGGAATTAGGGTGAGAGTAGTAGGGCCAAATTTTTTTCAATTCCTGGCCGATTCACTCACAGTGTGGCTTAGTGCGGCCCCCTATAAGGCCGCGTTCATAGCTTGCGTTCGTGAAGAAATGCAGAAATGCGGAAAATGCAGAAGTGCGGAAAGTGCAGAAGTGCGGAATCTGCAGAAAAGCAATAGATACGTATCGACTTGAAGAAATGCAGAAATGCCGAAACTGCAGACGTGCGGAAAGTGCAGAAATGACGAAAAGCATTACATACGTATCGATCTGAAGAAATGCAGAAATGCCGAAAGTGAAGAATGCGGAATCTGCAGAAATGCCGAAAGTGAAGAAGTGCGGAATGTGCAGACATGCGGAATCTGCAGAAATGACGAAAAGCAATTCATACGTATCGATTTTCCGCACTTTCGGCATTTCTGCAGATTCCGCACTTCTTCACTTTCGGCATTTCTGCATTTCTTCAAGTCGATAAGTATCTATTGCTTTTCTGCAGATTCCGCACTTCTGCATTTTCCGCATTTCTGCATTTCTTCACGAACGCAAGCTATGAACGCGGGCTAACATGGATAAGGGTGGTAATGCGCCCTAACACAGAAAATGACGACAGCCAGGTCGATGCATAGGTTTCAGATGCTTCATTCCTTAGCACACACGCCAGGGCACATCGTTGTTGGAAAATCCCCAATAGAGGGGTCGTGTTTAGGCCGGGAAAAATTGTTTAGGCCGAAAAAAATTTATTTTGATAGTTGATTTTTCTCGCTTCACGCTGTTTCTGTTTTTCTCGCTGTTGTTAAAAGCGGATGGGGTCGTACTTGCTCACTGTTAGGAGGGGGTGATCGTACCAACGCTTTGGCGTCGTAGGAGCGGTGGTTGACTTTTTGTGATTTTCCTGTTTCATGCGTACTATATACCCAATTCCCCGCTCGACAGCAAAATTTTTGGGAAAAAGTAGGGAAGTTTTCGGGAAATTTTGGAAAAAGTGGCAGGAAGTTGGGGAAAATCTGATTGTAGAGGGGAGTCGTATTGTCTCGCGGCTTTTCCTGTTTCACATGTGCTATTTACCCCCCCCCCCCCCTCTCCCCCCCGCTCGACGGCTCGATTCGATGAGGAGGGACAGAGGGCTGGCGAGGGGGGGGTCGTACCAATCCCCAAAAAAGGGGGGTCGTACAGATTCGACTGAATCCCCAACAATGCTGTGCCCTGACACACGCTCGCTAGCATTTACGTACGGAAGTTTCTCAGGAACACGGGAATTTTCGCGAATGGTAAAAAAAGAGGTTTCGAGTGCCACATTCCATGTGTATTTTGTCATTGGAGCGTTTTATGGAGTTGCTTGGAAATTTTTTTGCTTTAAACCCCGCTGTATAGGGGGGTATCGTGTGACCTGACTCCGTGTGGCACGTCTATGTTGTAGGTGTTAGGTCTATGAGGTACACGAGCCTGAAGTTTCACGACTCCTTCAAAATGATGATAATGTCGATGGGTGGTCACATTCGATAAGTTTCTTCAATATCACGCTTGTGCGAATTTCTCTTCGTCGTGCTTCAGAAACAGGTTTCGTTGACTTTTCTCAATCAGCTGGTGCGACCATGTTCACCAATGTCGCAGTCGCCATTTTTGACCTCTTATTCGTGTTAATGTGTCAACCTGTTACTTCACTGAAGCAGAAAGCACAGCAGCGACTGCCTTGCTGTTCAAGCGATATCCATGAACCGGCGAAGTTCAGATCTGAATCAGCTCACGTACAATGTTTTTGTCACATTGCCTGAGGATTCCAAGGTTAAGGAGAGCTAATTGCTGTGTTGTGCAGATTCTCCCGCTCCTTTTTTTACGAAATTCTGGATTGTTTCAGCAAGCACTCATTTAAGATCATCGGAAACTTATGCCTCGACCCATCGGTCATTTCACTTCTGTGAGAAGAAAATTTCTCGGTACTTCAATGCCTAAAGGCCAGATTCAAACCTACTACGTTTTCATGTGAAATTAGTGAGTCTCCTGAATGTTTTCAATAGTTGTGATAAAAACCTGGTTGATTGACAAACGGAGAGCGGTGCTAAGATTGTAGTACTCAGAGGAATGATGAATCTGATGAAGGGACCAGAGCACACCAGCTTCTGAAGAACATCAATAAGTACAGATAGGACGTATCAAACGTGACGCACAAAACCTCAGATTGTTTGATTTTCTTAGTTTTCCCACGAGATATTCACTGAGTTGGTTATGAGCAAGAGGGAGAGCACATCCACAATCACTGGTTCAGACGATACTTCACACCAACTTCAGCGTTCGGGATGCTTATTTCTCATCATCAACGGAACGTGAAGGTC